TTTTCTTACAAGTAGAATCTAAATCGCCTAAAGTAGATCCAATTTACAGTTAAAATAAGCTTACATCACCTAATTTTTTTGATAACCGTTATGTTTGGACCAGCTTGCACACATCTCAACTAAATTCTGCGGGAAACCTATCAATTCCCACCAACAAATGATATCAAGTAACTCCATCCACCCAAGCTAGGACAGATGGAACAAAGACGCAAAATTTTCACCATTTGCATTTCCAACCCCTACATTTTGTTCAAGTACAATCCAAATAGCTAAAATTAGTTCCAATATACAGTTAAATAAACTCAAATCAGCTATATTTTTTAATAACCGTGGTGCCTAGACCAACTTGCGCACATCTCAACTAATTCTACAATACATGTCCACTTCCACCACCAAAAGACTTGTCGGTGTAAAAAGAAACAAAATTTTCACCATTTGCATTTCCAACTCCTACATTTTGTTCAAGTACAATTTAAATCACCAAAATTAGTTCCAATAGATAGTCAGACTAAGCTCAGATCAGCTAATTTTGTTGATAACCGTGGTATCTGGATTAGCTTGCACACACCTAGACTAGTTCTACGGGATACCTGCCAAATCCCACCAGCAAAACAACAAAAGATAGAAATCTCTTTAAGATTTGAACCAGAGAGAACTCATTGACCACTACACCACATCCATAGTGCAACTCAGATCAACTAATTTCACCAATAAAACTACACAAAATCCCTAACAATTGAATACTTACTAAACTCATACAACACATAAAAAAATTAAAAAAATTACCAGTTACGACCGAGGACTTCGTCAGCGCGATAACCAGTAGAGCTTTCAAACGCAGAATTCACATATATAACCGGAAGATCAGGATCTAATGCATCGGAGACGACGATTGAAGACGGCGTCGTTAAAGGATAGAAAAATCCAACTGGTTGTGAAGGAACTTCAATATTTTCAATTTCTTCTTCATCTTCATCATCGTCATCGTCCTCATCGAGAATTTCTCCTTCTTCTTCATCTTCATCTTCATCTTCCTCCATGTTTATGCATTTCAATCTCTTTTCTCTTCTCATGTTCTCTTCTTCTTCTTCTTCCATTTTCTTCATACCTTTTTTTTTCTCTTTTTTTTTTATGCCAAACAAAAATATCTTGGTAGCTAATGATATCTTTCTAGATATGTTTGTAGAGCTGTGTTGGGAAAATAGACATGATGTTCAACTTATTTACTCAAATGCCTCTCACAAGAATTAGTTCGAGTATATCTCACATGAATTATCATGTAAAATGTATATGTCTACTTGTTAGACTTTATACAAATTTAAGTGTGTACTTATACATAAAAAATCAGTAAATATCAAGTTAAAAAGACATATTTATATATTATGTATTTGAAAAATTAGTAATGGTACTATTGTTTACAAAATTAAATAATCTTTTTTAGAATTGTTATTTTTTAAAATTTAATTCATAGTTCACACTGAAAGTAAGATATTTTCTGTGTGTGGGGGAGGGGGGGGGGGGGGGAGGGGATGTAAGAATTGGATTAATACGAACCTAGTATTTCTGATATCATGCATAGACATGTGTGTGTTTTAATATTAAAATATTTGAATTCGTAATTTTAAAAGTATAATGAATTATGTTGATAGAAACATAAAGATTGAACCTATCAATTGATATAGTATGCGTTGATATCCATTTGATATGAATGATACTTGTTGTTTGAATATAATCAATTGTCGATATAATTGATATCCGCATAATACAACTCTTTTACCCGATACAACAATTATAGTTATGTTTCAAAAATACATAAATTATATTTATGCTTTGTAACTACACTTTAAACTAGAACTATTTATAAAAATCTATAAACCTTTTTGAGAGAATATTCTTGTATTGAACCCATAGGCCATAGTTATGCTTCAATGCTAATTTATTATTTTGGGTACATTATTATTAAATTGGAGTGTGATAAACGATAATTATGGATGTCATTATCACACTTGACCTACCGATTATATTTAAAGTTGAACTATATACTAGGATTAAGGAACATAGGATTATATTAGTGGTTAATTAGTTGTTCTAGCAACTTAAAAATATATTTAAGTGGCCCAAAAAAAAATAAGTATTCTAGTTCTAGTACTATGTATAATTGATTCCTCATTTTAGGTATATATTTTGGATTTAATGATATGAAAATTAAGAGTGCACAAAAATGCATATTGAAGGCTATAGTTGTTGCTATGTCTATATTTAGTTGATAGTTTCTCTAAGCATTTTAGCGGCGATGCAATGTGATGCATGACGTTCAGATAAATATGACATTGCCCTAATAGCTTCAAGCGTAATATTAAAGATTCGATGGTTCAAGAATTCTACAAGATAAAACATTTAGTTGATAGTTGTGACATTGTTTTTTTGGATATGACAAGGGTTAAATCTAAAATAGTTTCCCTTGGTTATGGTGATTCATAAAATTTGTTAATTGCCAAGAAAAATAATAGAGTAAGGGTAGATCTCATCTTTCCTAATTTTTGTCAACGAAAGGTATGTGGTTGCATAAACTACCCTTGGTTGTTGAAGCAGATATATCGTTCAAGACATATCTGCTTCTAGCCGCTTATAATAGTAAACATACTAAAAGAATAAAAGGTCTTTGAATCCAAAATCAAACAATTACTTACTATTTTTGTAAATAATAATCATGATTAAATAATATTCTCTATTTTAATTTATACAATACATTTTTCCTTTTAATTAGTTTTAAAAAGGGTAATATATTTTTCGTTATTCATGATCTAGAAATAGAAATTAGTAAGAACTAATTATATACTCCTACTATTAGAATTTAGAAATAGTACAGTGTATTGATAGTTAGTGGCTTTTTGGTAGTTTATAGGTGTTTGGATGGCAAAAATGAAAGTTTGGTCGACACGTGGTTGAAGGATATTTTGAGGTGAAAATATCTAGAGACTTGAACCTGCCACCAGAGGAAGTCCACGTCATCAGCCAGCTAACGAAGATATTTTTATGGCTGACCCAATAGTCTATGTGGCAGGAATAAAAACAGCATCTTTGGATTTTTTTCTTCTTTTTCATCCGGTGTTCGATATTTGATATCCGCATTGAAATCTGATAAGTACTTTTTATCAAGGATTAAGATGAGGAAAACGAGATAGAAATAGTTCGAACATATATCGAGAGATGCAAGAATGAGTGTACCAATAAGAAGGTGCGAAGAGATTGATTTGTAACAGGTTTTATGAGAGGTACAAATAAGACGAAGAGGAATTGAGAAGATGTGATTTAGATATGACATGACACATCTTCGAAATACATGACCTAAATAAGAAGATATGAAGATTGAAAATTATAGTACAAGAATAGTAAATAGTCGAGTATTGTTGTCATATTTCTTTGTGGGAGAAGCGGGGGATTAACTTTTTCTTCTCGCCTTCTCTTTATTTAGTAAATATTGATTAGTAGACATAGTCGCATAGTATCTTATTCTTTAATTTTCACTATTGCATGTTGTTTCATTTACTTTATGTATCTTGATATTTATTGATGTTATTTTCCTTTCAATTCTACGTTGGTTACAGTACACTTCCTATATCCTACCTTTCTTATACCCACTTTTGGAAATTCACTACTATGTTGTTGTTTTTTTTATTTTTGTTTTAGTTTGATAAGTTTTATTTGTTGAAATTGAAAAATTACAAAAATAGAATCATATTTTAGAATATCAATTTTATTTCATTTTCAAAAGAAAGAATAATTTTCAAAAAAGGAAAATTCTTTTCAAATTAGGTTTCAATAAATAAGTTTAGTATTATGATGTTTTAATTTTCTTAATCTAGAATTAATTTGTATGTTTATTTTGGTATTTCTCTTTTTGGTAATTAACTTTCTATTTTTAGTATTTTTTTTTTATATTCTCTTTAAAAAAAGGAAAAGACGAAAAAGATAGACTAGAACCAATTGTAATTCAACACCTAAAAGATTCCTATTTATTTTTCTAAAATAATATAACTCACATTTTTCACTCATTATTATTATGAGGGACCATTCTATATTTCTTTTGGACCAAGGCACAATTCATACACATTGTTTTCAATCTCCTTTTCTTGAGCATATGCACATGGGATGTTCCCACTCACATCCATATCTCTTTAGAGATTAGATACACAAAGACAATATAACAACCACAACAACGTATTCAGTGTAATTTCATTTATCAGGTCAGAAAAGATAGAATAAATATAAATCTTATATTGTTTTTGAAAGATGGTCAATGAAGTCATGTGTTGAAAATTATGGGATTTTAAATTCAAATTCTAGATATGCTTCAAATTCTTTTCTTTATTCTTTTATTATATTGTTTTGAACTAAAGAAAAAATAAAATTGACTAAAAGTCAACATATTCAAAATGATAAAACATTATTGTGAACAAAAGAAGCAAGTAAAACACAAAAAAAATGTTAATGTTTAGATAGGAGTTAAGACGAGCAAAACAAAGAAACACCTAAGGGTGTGTTTGGTATGGACGAAAAGGTTTTGTTGAGGAGAACTGATTTATAGAATCAATTTCAATAAAAAGAGAAGTTATTCAACTATATATACATTCCAAAGGTAATGCATTCTTTCTGATGAATGTATATAGATATCAGATTCACTAAACTACGTCTCAGTCCTAAACAAGTTGAAACATGACTATTTCACTAACTTACTCCCCAGAATTTGAAAAAAAGGAAATCGAAATACAGATAAAGGAAAGATCATGAACTTCTGCAAATTTGCTTGAGTATACCTTATGGTACTCTCCATCAGCTAGTCGTTACGTCTGCAATGCACAAACCAATTGTAATTAGCACCTTTTATAGTATAAATAAGTGAAAATGATGAATATAAAAAACATTTTCAGATTTCGAACGAATCTAGCTAATAAAAAATATTTATGCTTTTAAGAAATGTATACCTTTTTGATTAATGTTTACTCACGTATAGAGTTCGCATGAATAACGAGGTCATCATTTCCCAAGCTTTGTTGCTCCTCTTGTATTTGCTCTGCTGAAACAAGAACAGAACGCTTACATTCGTGTAGTTCAATCAGCTGTAGTGTTTGAATCTCCGCAAAATCGAAAGGAATTTGTTTCAATGAATAGCAATTTGTTAGAACTAAGTGCTCAAGGCTTGGGAAATGATTACTTGTTGCTTCCCATTGCTTCAGACTCATGCGCTCAAGAAGTAAAAACTTTAGCTTCAAGAATCCATCTTCGTCTTCATCGCTTAGTATCCAAGTTAGTACGTCAAAGGCACCATCTTTAAGTTTGAGCACCTCAAGATTAGGTAATTTTCTGAGAATGTTCATGTCTTCCCATGGTAGGTTTGTTCTGCACAATGTTAACTTCTTAAGGTTTGGTGGGAAATTTTCACAATGTGGAATGTGTAGCACAGGAAAGCTCACCCAATCCAAGCTTTTTGCTTTGCAGATCAAAATTAAATCTGGCACATACTTGCACTCAACTTTGAGCTTCTCAAGCTGAGTTAAATGTACAAGATTTTCCAGACAATAACACTTCTGAGTATATAAATGATCAAAAATTAAAATTCCCAACTTCTTCAAATTTGGAATTCTTAGAAACACCTCATCATTACAAGATGAGGGAATCAATCCGGTTATTGTATGCAAGTGATTCTCCCTCTCAGCAATTAGGGATGTAGGTCGGGGTATGAAAAGACAAAGCTTTTTTGTATGGATATGTCTTAGTTGAGGCATATTCACAACTTCCCATGGTAGGGACTGGGTTGTCATACATGCATCAAATAGAGGTGAATCATAAATAACTAAGTTCTGTATATTCCGTAGCTTGCATAGTGATTGCACAAGACCATCGAAGGACGGACAAGCAAGATACCTCAAATGAACAAGTTCTGATATGGACTGACCACAGAACAAAGAAGATGTAAAACAAACATCTAATATCCTAAGTAATCTAAAGCTTGACTGTGAGAGGGAATAAACAGAGTATGGATATTTGAAGAAAACAGAACGTGTGAGTGGCATTAGTTTAGGAATTTCACTGTGTGTATACCTATGGAAATCAGCTACACGACGTAGACAATTAAAGTTTTCTGGAAGATCATCGTGGTAATACCTTGTTTTGAAGTGTATAAAATTCTCATATTGGGCTTCTCTCAAACACATATCCCGAACGAGATCATGCATCTTACAAGTCTTGATTTTCCCTAGGGAAGTATGCTTCCCCATCAAAACCAAACTTCTATCAACCAACTCCCTCAAATTTTCCTCTGCCACATCTTCTAAATTTTTATGATTAACTTTCTTGACGAAGCCCTCAGCAATCCATAACTTTATTAACTTCCAGACCGGAATCTCACGAGTTTCTGCAAAAACTCCCATATAAAGGAAGCATGTTTTCAAGTACTGAGGCAAGTGGTTGTAGCTCAAAGAAAGTATGTTCAAGCAATCCATAGTGTCACTGGTCATAAGTGATCCTACCTTTTCTGCAACATTCTCCCAAGAACTTGTTTCCTTGCTCATCTTGGAAAGTAGTCCACCAATTGCAACAATTGCAAGTGGCAACCCTTGACACTGATGGCATATGTACCTCCCAATTTTCTCCAATTCCGGAGGATAACCACCGTTCCCAAAGACCTTATTGCGTAAAAGATCCCAGCTTTCCTCCATTCTCAGAAAAGGCATCTGGTGAAGGGAATTGACAGAGCAAGCACAAGATGCAACATCTACAAGCCTTGTGGTCAACACAATTCGACTTCCATTATGATCATCCGGAAATGATCTCCTCACATGCTGCCAAGCCTCGATAGACCACATATCATCTAGGACAATAAGATACTTCCTCCCTTTTAAACTTCGATAAACTCTTTCAGCCAATTGCTCAGTAGTACTGTTTCTTTCTACTTCATCGTTGACCACGCCCATGGAGCGAAGAATACCAAGAAAAATTTCTCTAGTATCAAATTCCTGAGATACATTTGTCCATGCTCGAACATAAAAATGGTATGCAATCAAGGAATCATCATAAACTCTTCTAGCCAGTGTGGTCTTGCCAATGCCACCCATCCCTATAATAGGGACAACTTCGAGTCTTGATGATTGCACGATGAGTCTATCTTTTATCCTTAGCAAGTCTTCATCTGGTCCAATGATTACATCTTTTTGATCCAAATGGAGCAGTGAGAAAGTATCTCTTGAATGTGAGATTTTGCTGTTAAAACTGCTGACCTTTATCTTTTCCATAACCTCTTTTTGTATCAAACCAATTTCCTCAATTGCATATTCCAAGTTTTGATGAAAGATCGTATAAGCCTCTCTTCGTACTCGCTTGCTTTGTACTAAGACAGAGCTATCATATACATGTGAGTCAATAGTATCTTCCAATTGACCAGCAGCATCTTGGATCATCCTTTCGAGATGCTTCATCTTTATATCTTCATGGAAAATATTAGTAAAATTCTCAAGAAAGGTTTTAAGGAAGGTGTACTTGTCACTGAGGACTTCAGTTTGCTTTTTTTTGTAAAGAAGAGAATGTGATGTATGAGTTTGAGATAGATTATCCAGGGTTTGCAGAAGTGAAGTCACAGCAGCATACGCCGCCATATCGCTGTTTGTTAGTTTCTCACTAAACAGGACAGTAGGAGGAAGTTCTGAGTTGTTGATTTAGATTCTCAAAACCAATTCTTTATGAAAGAAGAAGGCAGTGTTATGGATGGGAATGCAAGACTTTTAAGGGTTTGTAAAGAGAAGTCTTCTCTTTGTGTCTGTTTCTCTCCAAGAGAATAGTGGTGGGGTTGGTGGAAGGGTAGAAGTGAGAATTCTTGTTTTGCCCATTGAATTATTTGTCAGATTGAGACTCAAATTGTATTTAAAAACTTGTACCAAAAAGCAAGTTGGAATAGTTTGTCAGAGACCCAACTTGCCCAAACTACATTCATACTAGAGAGACACTTTTCGGACATATCTTCGAAAAATAACTATAGTCAAGTAATTTCAAAATCTACAAGTTTTACTCCGGATATAACCCTAGATAGGAAGGAGTGAAAGTTGAGGATTAGATTAGAAGGTTAGTAGGTAGCAATATTGTTGTACTTTGTTTCTTTTTCTTCGATGTGCAGTACTACTTGTTGCTTCATTTGATTTGTATCTTGCTGTTTTGCTGTCATATTTTCTTGCTACCATGCTTCAAATTCTTTTCTTTATTGTTGAGTCGAGGGTCTATCGGATAAGGCAGTGTAATGGATGGGAATGCAAGACTTGTTAGGCTATGCAAAGAGAAGTTTTCTCTTTGTGTATGTTTCTCTATAAGAGAGTTGTGGTGGGGTTGGTGGATGGTTAGAATAGAGAATTCTGAATTATTTGATTGAAGTCAATGGTATTTAAGACTTGTACCAAAAGGCAAGTTGGAATAGTTTTTTAAAATGAGTCCCAAAGTCATACAACTTGCCCAAACTACATTCATACTGTAATGAGTCACTTTTTGGTCATATCTTTGAAAAATAACTATGGTTAGGTAATGTCACTTTCCTTGTCGAAAAAAATTGAAATGTCACTTTCTAAGATGGTCAATCAACTAATAGTTATTATTTTCAGAAGGTCACTTTCTTTGTCGAAAAAAATTGGAATCAAGAAGAAGCGTGACTTTTTGAAATAATAATTAAGCACAAATAAGATCAACATTTATGTACTAACCTACAACAACAACAATAACAATAACAAAAATGCAATGTATTGAGAATAAAAAAAGAGGAAACTTTACTATGGGGGGAAAAAGTCACTCTTGCAATCAAGAACCTCATAAGTGTTGCTCTCCATAACTCTGGAAAAAAAATAAAAACTGATTATCAGTAAAAAAAATAATTTAACTTTACACTGAAAGGAGGAAAAGGTGGTATTTTTTTTAAAAAAAAAAGCAATCAAAATTGATTATCAGTACAAAGATTTGAACCTTACACTAAAAGAGGAAAAGGGGACTCAATTTTTTCTTACATCAGTGGAAGATCTAATCGTTTCAACTGATTTCCTCATTTGGGTTAGTGCAATTTCTTCATTTGTGCCATTTTTAAAGGAGTTATTTTGGAGGGGAAGGTAAGACAAATTTAACATTGATTTTATGTGTGAAGTTGAAAGTTCAATATTTTTGTGGAAAGAAATACAAAAAGAAAAAAAAGTTAGAATATTGCATTTGGGCTCCACATTATTTAACATCTTGTTACTATTCTCTTCTGCGTTATTTTTTGCATGCCTTCTTCCTGCTATATTTCCTTTCTAAGCGTTACTTGAGCCGAGAGTCTACTTAAAATAGTGTGTCTACCTTCATAAGGTTGCGTACACTTTAGCCTCCGCACACCCTACTTGCGGAATTGCACCGGGTATGGTGCCAAACTTTTGAACTCATCTGATTTAAACTATTCCAACTTGCTGGATGCCTGCAAAAGTATATTGAATATCATTTCTCAGTCTGACTATATTGTGTTGTTTATTCCAACTTGAATCTTAAAAAAAAACATGTTTGTACCCTTCATTTCTTTCTAAAGAAAATGCATATAGAATTGACTTTAATTTGGGCATCTTGATCAAGAACTCCTTACTCTTCCATGTTTTAGTAAGAAACAAACAGTGATATGGTGGCGTATGCTGCTGTGACTTCTCTTTTGCAAAGCCTAGATCAACTCTCGGAAACTGATCATTGGATTCTTTACAAAAAAGAGCAAACTAAAATCCTCCGCGAGAAGTTGACCTTCTTTCAAACATTTCTTGAGGATTTTACAAATGTTTTCCATGAAGATAAAAAGATGAAACATCTCGAAAGAATGATCCAAGATACTGCTCATGGAATGGAAGATATGATTGAATCACATGTTTATGATAGCTCATACGAAGGACAAAGCGGCAGGAACGAAGAAAGGCTTATACGATCTTTCATCAAAACTTGGAATATGCAATTGAAGAAATTGGTTTGATACAAAGAGAGGTTATGAAAAAGATAAAGGTCAGAAGGTTCAACAACAAAATCTCACAATCAAGAGTTACACAGCAATATTGTACTTCTTCTCAGTTCACATTGAATCAAAAAGATATAATTGTTGGACTAGATGAAGAGGTTCTAAAGATAAAAGATCGACTCATCGTGCAATCATCAAGACTCGAAGTAGTCCCCATTATAGAGATGGGTGGTATTGGCAAGACCACTCTGGCTAGAAGAGTTTATGATGATTCTTTGATTACATACCATTTTTATGTTCGAGCATGGACAAATGTATCTCAAGAATTTGACACCAGAGAAATTTTTCTTGGTATTCTTCGCTCCATTGGCGTAGTCAACTGTGAAGTAGAAAGAAACAATACTTATGAGCGATTAGCTGAAAGAGTTTATCGAAGTTTAAAAGGGAGGAAGTATCTTATTGTCCTAGATGATATGTGGTCTATCGAGGCTTGGCAGCATGTGAGGAGATCATTTCCGGATGATCATAATGGAAGTCGAATCGTGTTGACCACAAGGCCTGTAGATGTTGCATCTTGTGCTTGCTCTGGCAATTCCCTTCACCAGATGCGCTTTCTGAGTGTGGAGGAAAGCTGGACTCTTTTACGCGATAAGGTCTTTGAGAACGGTAGTTACCCTCCGGAATTGGAGAAAATTGGGAGGTACATTGGCCATCAGTGTCAAGGGTTGCCACTTGCAGTTGTTGCAATTGGTGGACTACTTTCCAAGATGAGTAAGGAAACAAGTTCTTGGGAGAATGTTGCAGAAAAGGTAGGATCACTCATGACAAGTGACACTATGGATTGAATGAACATACTTTCTTTGAGCTACAACCACTTGCCTCAGTACTTGAAAACATGCTTCCTTTATATGGGAGTTTTTGCAGAAATCCGTGAGATCCCGGTCTGGAAGTTGATAAGGTTATGGATTGCCGAAGGCTTCATCAAGAAAGTTAAACATAAAAATCTAGAAGATGTGGCAGAGGAAAATTTGAGGGAGTTTGGTTGATAGAAGTTTGCTTTTGGTGGGGAAGCATTGCTCCCTAGGAAAAATCAAGACTTGTAAGATGCATGATCTCGTTCGAGATATGTGTTTGAGAGAAGCCCAAAATGAGAACTTTATACACTTCAAAACGAGGTATGAACACGATAATCTTCTAGGAAATGTTAGTTCTCTACGTCGTGTAGTTGTGTTCAATAGTCATAGACAGTTAGATTATAGATATGCCAGTGAACTTCCTATACTCATGCCACTCGCACGTTCTGTTTTCTTCAAACATCCATACAACTTTTGTTTCCCCCCGCGATCAAGCTTTAGATTACTTAGGATATTAGATGTTTGCTTTGCTCTTGTTACCGACAATTCTGAGGCAATATCAGAACTTATTCATTTGAGGTATCTTGCTTGCCCATTCTACTATAACATTATGCAATCAATATGCAAGCTTTGGAATTTACAGATCTTAGTTATTCGATATTGCAATATATGGGATATATCT